ACCCTGCAGCCCTGACTGAAACATGTACAGCTGAATTACTCCAACTTTACAATAGTGTAGAGTAGTTTTATAGCATTTGAGTAGAGTTGTGGGTGAGCTGATGTGCTCAAGCTGCAGCAAGTCCGGAGGGATGGAGATGGACTACTTAGATCTGCACATTGTTATGTATTTTCATGGAAAACACTTCCAAATATGAACCTTTGAAACACAGAGAGGAGTTTTTAGGGATTCAGAGACTTTAAATGGAGGGAGTTTACTTTAGCTGAATGTGAGCAAAAGAAGAAGAAATAACGACGTGGTTTTAGAAACTCAAACGAATACATAGTTATCTCTTAAATGAAAAACACATCCTCATGTGAACCATCAGGAGGAGACCTCTGTGGTTTTCAATGTTATGTGATTAAACTGGAAAGCTACTTTTCACGAGAACTACATAGTATGAACCATCTGTGCTAAACTGTGTCAAAGCAGCGGTTAGAGGTCAGACGCTCTAGTTCATCATAAATCATAAACACGATGTCACTCATGTGAGTTAGAGCAACTTTTTGTTGCATTACTTCAAAGATTTTACTAAGTGGATGTTCTCCATCTAGAAAAAATATCTGAGACGGCCTCAAATAAAGCAGCCATTAACAGTCTATAACGTGTATTCTCACCAACTTGTGTTTTTTAATTGAAGATACAAAGCCATTCTCACCAGACTACAAACACTTTCATTGCTCATTTTAATCTGCTGTGTTCTTTAATTTAGCAGTAACCAGATGCAAATATTTAAACATGAATCCTTATTTTATTTGGTTGTAGTGAAGAAGTTGTTTGCAATTCATGTAAAATGGAAATCAAAGTAAATAAAACAGGAAAACATGTGGTGTACATACAATTCTTTATTTACTCCAATAAGAGGGATATATCAAATCCATATATCTCACCATTGTGATGTGATATCAAAGTGATTAATTAAAATCATATATCACCTGGTATGAGAAAGATATAAAACATGATGTAATCTTTTTATCATTGTATTTACAATCTGTTTTCACATTATTACAAGGTGACATTTTATTCATAGGTGAGTCTGTGTCAATTCAGACAGTTGCTGCATCTTCTTATGTTTTGTTCATAGTTTCCTTTTATCTTATATGAGACCAAAACTGATGTTGGCTCCAACACAGGCCACATTATTCATTATTGGCACATTTATTTCAAGCAAGGGGTCCAAGAGAGTTCCTGTAATTGTATTAAACGCATGTGTTAATATTTCCTGATAAAAATAGTCTTTGGTCAGCGTTTCACCAACTTTTTAAAGCTCCGGTTAATTCATAACACACCACCAAAGCTAACTGTTTCTGAGCTGCAACAAAATATTAAAAGCATAAATTACAACAGCAAAGGTTTTGCCACAGAAAGGTGCACTCAGTAGATAAGGGATATAGAGATAACATATTTTGAAGCAAGCTCCTGTAAAATGATTTCATCACTTGGCTCAAAACATTCAGGGGTTTTGTTGCCACAGTTTGGTGTGACCCGTCGCTTATATAATACAAGTTAACCTTAACTAGCTAGATTTTGCTCTATCACAGACATTGCCAAGCCTGCTGATATTATGACCTCACTTTTGCTGCTGTTGTAGCATTTTAATATTATCCTATAACTACCATGTTTTGCAAAGGCAGTTTGTTTAAAATAAATGTGTTCGAGTCCCATCCATGAATATTTACTGCAGGTCCTTCCCCCACTCTCCTCCCCATATTTCCTGTCTCTCTCTCTCCACTTTTAACTATAATAAAGGCTGAAAAGTCCAAACAAAAAAAATATTAATAAATAAATGTACAGTCAATATATGCTGGATAACTGTGAGTGAAATAGAAATAATATCTTATCAGCTGTTGCACTTGCATGACAACTTACTGAGAAGCTTCAGAAACTGAGTATTAGTCATTATTTCCGCTGCAAAGCTGCATGTCATGTTTCCTTGGTTTCACAGCTGGCTGAGCGACTGGGAGCCAGTCTCCCGAGTTTTCTTCTCAGCACTTTCGACAGTGTCTGCTTGGGGCAGGTGAAGAGCTTTCCTGAAAATGCTCTTAAAGGCAGGACTGGAGAAGTAGTAGATCAGTGGATCCATGGTGCTGTTCAGATAAGTCAGGCTGATGGTGATGTAAAATGCAGAGGTCAGGTCCTCCAGGGCAGGACAGATGTCAGGTTCAGGGAGGGTGCTGGTTACCTCCCTGGTCTTGATCCAGATCAGCAGCTGTGTGATGTTGCTCGGCAGGAAGCAAACGATGAAGACCACCACCACTACTACCATGAAGTACAGAGCCTTCTTAATCTTTGCATGCTGGGCCAGCTGTCTCCTTCTCAGGTGGCTGATGATGTGCACTGTGCAGTAGAGAATCACAAGCAGAGGCACGTAGAAGGAAAAGAGGAACACAAATTTATGCCAAGTCAGATTGTTTTGATGCTTGGTCTCAATCGTGAAGCTCTCGCAGTGGGTCGTGTTCACATGTTGTAGAGTGAAGACATGAGCAGTCATTGAAAAGGCGACCAGCCACAATCCAAGCGCTCCAATGGCAGCTTTGCAGACACTCAGGGAGTTGATGGAATGATGGGGATGCACCACACGCATGTATCTGTCCACAGCGATAGCCATCAGGAAGAAGATGCTTCCGCTGCGATTCATAGCCAGCATGAAGAGGCAGATGTTACAGAGGGAATTGCCAAACATCCATTTGATCCCCGAGATGTAGTAGCTGGCACGGAAAGGCAAAGCCACATTGAGCAGAAAGTCAGCCATCGCCAGGTTGAAGACCAACACCGTGCTGCTTTTCCAGGGCCTCAGGTGGAAGCAGAAGATCCACAGAGCCAAAGCGTTTCCAAGTAATCCCAAAATAAACTCCATCACCAGCAGTGGAGGGAGAACTGTGATCAGCACAGTCCCATTGAAGTTGCACTGCATGTTGAGCTGTGTGCTGCCTCGCTGCCTGCAGAGCAAAGACAAAACCTCTTGAGGACAGTGTGCATTCTTTAAAAGGAAATATCAGCACAGTGGTGTGTGGTTTTGGCTTTTACAGGAAGCTGCAGGTTCTGCTTTTTAAATTAAAAGGTAATATAAAATCTTAATTGACAACACAACCATCAACAGACATTGCTTTTGGATGTGAAAATATTTGGCATTTTACCCATGTTGGCTTGTTTTCAGTTATTAAAATACCTCAGTTTAGTCAAACCTATAGTTCCTGTTTGGGCTCCAGACCTGACAGAAAGCATCCTCCTTTTGAGTGGACATGTTTAACTCAGCATCTGCTAACACCCACCCTGTTCAGGGCACTTCTTGTTTCAAATAACTGTAACTATTAATAACACTTCTGAGAACCTTTTCCACAAACTAAAGTATGTCAATGATGATCTGCTTTGACCTTTAGTCTTCACTTTGTCACACACATGTTGGTGTCACAGAATTAACTTTAAATTTGCACATTTATTTTTGTTTTCTTGGTATAATACCCAGTAATAACTAACTAAATCAAGTTCACCACCAAATAAGGTTATTGGTCATGAAACCCCCCCACAACTTTGTAGTAGATTTGCTGCTAGTGGTTTGTGAAAAACAGCAGCTGCTTTCATGAGCCACAAGGTACCACATTATTTTTGTACAATATTTAGCAATTTTCTCTTAATCTCCATCTACTGTGAAGCCTGGTGGTGGCAGCATTATACTGCAAAGCCCCGGAAAAAGACGATTTAGAGGATGACAGAGTCAATGAATGCATGTGTATGTAAGAAACCTGACAGAAAGAGTGCATGATTTCAAGCTGTGGTGTATTTTTCAGCACAACAACACCTTAGGCACAAAGGCAAGGCAGTGGTGGACTTCATGGTAGTGTGAAGCAAGTCTTCCGGCATCACTGATGGTTGTAGATAAAGCACAGAGTCACACCACCAATGAAGGTGAGAGAAAGACTAAACATGACTGCAACACCTTCCACTGGTACACACACGAACGTCTTAACTGAGTATATGTGTATATTTGGTCAATACCCATTTGTGCTTTTTTGAATGTGTTTATTGCTCTTGTTGAAGGTAATACGTAAGATTATTTAATTCAGCCACATGCAAAAAAATATGCAGGAACCTGAGAAGTTTCACATCATGTGTACTCACAGGTCTAGTATTTAATAGGCAGAAGCATCCACAGCAGCAGACATCTGGATCAATGGCCACATTTCACATGTATTCAGTTTACATCGAACAAATGAAATGAAATCAAAAGACAGCTCAGGCTGGATGATGCCGATGACACAAAATATGTGAAAAGTGCGAACTGAACTGTCACACTCATCGTGAGGTGCATGAATATTTTACTGGCCTGTGTCTTTCACAACCTTTCAAAGAGGAAGATGTGCGGCTGACTTTCCGTGTGTGGATCAGCTTTCACTATCAGGTGTCGCTTCCATTGTGAAACAGCACTGCTGAGGCAGACAAAAATATGAATGGCATGAAAGTGGAGTTGTCGGGATTTTTATTTATTTTTTGCTGCCTTTCACGTTTTGCATGGCTGAGGAGATGGACCGGTGCTTCATGTAGGAATGACTTGGACATTTGAATCAATGCATGCATGAAGGTAGACACAATTCGTAAATGATTTTGGATGTATTTGGATTGTTTGTGCAGAAGTGTGTCTATGTAGATGGTGAGCAGATACATGGATCCCTGTTTCAGCCCCTGCCTGGCTCCCTTTTTCTCTCCCTCTCACCCAGCCTGAGCTTTTGTGTCTGCCTCTCTCTGTGTGTGTCTTTCTCTCTGTGTCTGCCTCTTTGCCCTCAATCAACCACAATCACTGACAGCTGCAACTCCTGACTCACCTGCTCCCAGTCACCTCCTTCCCATACAGACCAACTCTTCCCTTCACTCTGAACCAGGTCGCCATCCCATTTACCTGTTTCACAGCCGTCTGTCAACTTGTCTCCTGCCTGCATTCCCCCAACCTGCTTGCCCTTTTCCCCATTGTTAGTTTTGGTTTAGTGAGTATCCCTGTTTTTGCTAATCTTTATCGGCATTTCCCTGTATTTATTTTGTATCTGCTTTTTTTTTTTTAGTGTTTTTCTAGCTCCCCTCTTTGCATTAGGTGAGTTATTCCCTGTTTAGTTTCTTTCTTCTGTAACAGTCTGAGTTTTGTTTTACTTTTTAAATACACCTGGTTTCGTTTCACTTTATCCCTGCCTATTGTGGTGTCTGCACTGGAGTCCAAGTCAGTTTCGTGACAGTGTGTGAAACTTTGGGGGTGGTGGGTTCAGTGTGGTTTTTTTTTTGGAGATACAGATGTGTCAGTGCGTGACATTGGCAGGACTGTGTGACACGCACTGACACATCGGTGTGTGACATTAGCAGGTGTGTGTGACAAAATGTGTGTGTTAACTTCTTCCACTCCACCACAATGTGGAGAACAGCTTACCAGAAAGGAAAACCAATAAAGTTTCAAAATGAACATTCCATTTATAAATAAATATGTACAGTGTCACAAGTGAGTACACATTTCTGCAAGTATTTTATTGTCAGCACTGAAGAAATGACACTTTGCTCTTCCGCCACACACGCTTGACACCATCTGAACCAAATAAGTTTATCTCGGTCTCATCAGACCACAAGACTTGGTTCCAGTAATCAAAGTCCTTAGTCTGTCATCAGCAAACTGTTTTTCTTGTGCATCGTCTTTTAACCAGGAAGAGGAAACGTGAGCACATCGTGCCTGTTTCAGCGCTTTTACATCGGCTGCCAGTGCGTTCCTGTTGAACCGCTGTGTGGTCTGTGCTGCTGCTCAGCTTCAGGGTGTTGGCAATCTTCTTACAGCCAAGGCCATCTTTATGTAGAACCACGGTTTTTTGTTTTTAAGATCCTTAGAGTTCTTTGCCATGAGGTGCCATGTTAAACTTCCAGTGACCAGTATGAGAGAGTGTGAGAGCCATAACATTGGATTTAACACATCTGCTCCCCATTCACACCTGAGACCTTGTAACACTAACAAGTCACATGACACCGGGGAGGGAAAATGGCTAACTGGGCCCAATTTGGACATTTTGACTTTGGGCTGTACTCACTTTTGTTGCCAGCGGTTTAGACATTAATGGCTGTGTGCTGAGCTATTTTGAGGGGACAGTAAATTTACACTGTTTGGGCAGCTGTGGCTCAGGTGGGAGAGCGGGTTGTTCTCCAGTCGCAAGGTTGGGGGCTCAATCACAGTCAAAGTGTCCTTGGGCAAGACACTGAACCCAAAGCTGCTCCCAATGGCAGGCAGCACCTTGCATGGCACCATTGGTGTATGAATGTGTGTGTGAATGAGAAACACATTGTAAAGCGCTATACAAGTGCAGACCATTTTACCATTTACCAAGCTGTACACTGACTACTTTACATTGTGTCAAAGTGTCACTTCTTCAGTGTTGTCTCATCAAATGATATAATAAAATATTTGCAGACATGTGACATACTGCACATGTAAAGGACAAAATGTGATTAAAAACAAAATAACTTCAGATTTGACTGAGATATTTAAATTCTGACAACCCTTGTGTTTTTCTCCATGAAGTAGTGTGCAGCTAATATCCCAAATTAAGATTCAGCATTCACTTTGTGCCTTTAAGCCATAATATCCCATTTCTGACTTGTTGAAGCATCTGTGTGCAAACTCTGTTTAAGATACAATTAAATGAGTGTTATTTTCTTTAACAGGGAGTCGACCTTCTTCTGGAAAGACCACATTAGTGTAAAAGGGCTGTGATGTAGGAAGGAAAGTGTTTATGTCTTCGTTGAGTTTAAGAGGTTAAGATACACACTTTGGTGTCAAGTGAATTGTTGTGTGTCTTTATGTAAACTGTATGAATTTATTCCTGAAAACATTATTTTGTAGTTCTAACCTGGGACTAGAGTCGAATACCTGAATTGGAGAACACTTGAGAAGTATGAGGAATGAAACCATGAAAGAAATGACTTGTTTTGTTTTCGGTTTGCATCATTTAATCAATTTTTACTCCTGTCATTAATAACCTTGTCAGCTTCTGTCATGTTTAATCAGACACTGGTTGTGAAGTGAGTTGCTGTATTCTTTTGCACGATTTTACAGTTAGAAGTTACATTTAGAAGTCACAAGGACGCATCACACGTATAATACGTTAACCTCTACTGCTGTCTAGTGGATAGCATTGGAAAATGTTGCTTTAGATACATGTTTTGGAGGTTGGTTCCCAGAGCAGTGTGAATGTGTTGTGCACAAAAAAAAATAAATCTTTTTCTCTCAATATTTTGCAAAAGGCTGTGTGACCAACACAGACAGAAGTAGGAGTGTAAATGAAAAAGAGAGGTTGTAGGAGGGACTGTTGCTAAGCATTTGATGAATGATCAGTTTGCCTTTTAAAAAAAACATTTGGACAGGATATCTTACTTTAAAAAAAAATGTGCAGTCAATACAAATGACTTTAAAACAGAAATGGACACAGTCATCCACAGTGACTTTACTACTATCCTCATGTGTCCTACTATGTCACAATCTTTTGACATATGACAGATGTCCCTCGGTAGTTTGTCCACGGATGTGGCTTGTGCCCTGCCAGCTCGTAATCTGTTCAGTGTGTGCAGTGTTCAGACAGGACAGAAAAAATGCAAAAGAGCCAGTTTAGCCTGCAGGGCAGACATGTGCTTTTGTCCTCTTCCCCTGTTGTCCCAGCAGCCCCTGTGTTTCCTTCACCTGCATACCTGGGAACAAAACATCATGGTTGCTGCTCCACCCAGCATGACGAACATGAAATTCCAGTTTCACAACCTTGAAGAGAGCTGACAGAGTTTAAAATGTACACATGAAGTGGCTGAAGTGTTGCTTTGCAGTCTGCTGTCAGACAGTTGCTGGTGGTGTTGGGTTGAGGAGAAAGCTGCAGCTGGAAACAACACTGATGACTTGAAGCCTGA